TGCAGTGGGATAGACTAATGGCAAAAATCGTGGAGAGGAGCCCGTATTTAGGGCACGACACAATCTGTTACTCAATATGAATGAGAGTTGTCCCATCGCTTAAACTATCTCTTAAGCCAATAGTCCACGACGGTTCTTGTTGCTCTTCAGCGTTGTACAAGGAAAAATAATTGAAGATTAGGAACATACGAGTCACTAGCTGGCGGACCTTTCGAGTTCAAGGCAGAACAACCGATGCTAAAGGCGCTCGAAGCATGCCCGAAAACTAGCGTAATATGACAAGTCGTGCTGGAGGTCAAACCACTTTCTGATGAGTTTTCTGTTATCAGAATGCCAACCAAACAGTTCCATTAGAAAATAGTGAGAACTTCCCACCGTGGAGTCTATCTATCCATGCTCCACTAAATTTTGAGAAAGTTATGACACTAGTCAATAGCCCATAACTCTCTTCGAAGGAAAACATTCATTTAAAAATAGAAAACGCTATTGAAACCATAAGCTTTTCCTAGAAAATTCACCAGCTGATCCTGCATAAAATCGTTCCATGACGGTTAAATCATCCTCTTCCTTATATTTCTGGATAAGTCGCTTGCACTAAATATCAAACGTCATTCGCTCATTGGCAAACAAAAATGGAAAACAATCACCTCACGTAAATCCAATACAATATATAAACATAACGAGGATGCGAAGTAGAAGATTACTGAGACTTAGACTGTGTACATAGAGCATCGAGTTAAAACGATTTGCATTAAATGGAAAAAGGGACAGTAATGGCGATGCAATCAGGTACAAACTAATTTCTTTCTTTTCTTTCTGTGATCAAGCAGAATTTTGCTATACATAATACTTTTTTAATTCCTAAAGAGGTAAAACTATCGCAATCAATCGTCACTATGAAACATTTAGCTAAGGAGAGTTGTAAGAGAAGGTGACAGGAAGTGTGTACCATTCACTGTCTCTTAATAACCTGAGCAGTACTGCGTTTGATCTTCGTCTCGCTCGGTACACATTACATTTTTGCATGAATTTCACCCTTTAAAGGCACAGTTCACGATAAAAATGGTTTCTGTGTTCTCTCCCTAGGAATCCCATTGCCCCCCAAGGGTAACAGGAAGGACGCGTTCGAGTCCCGAAACTCAACAACTAGGGCACAGTGGGAGCTCCGTTACCGGATCGCCCGAACTTCCCGCCCCACGATCGATATTACGTCAGACGAGTGCCGAGGCGATACAGATTGCAACATTCGTTCTAGGACCCACAGACAATCAGCTAATCGCCGAGAATTGGGGCGATGTTCTTCTCCTATTCTTTTATTCTCTGCCATTCTTTTAGCTGCTGTGATCCCTTATTTAATTTTCTACTCCAATAGCCTAAAAAAGGTGGGCTATTTTTGCTGTTGCTTGGACCATTCCTGCTCAATTTTTTGCTTTCATTCTCTTCCAGCCCCCTTTCCAACGATTCCTCGGAGCCTTTTTCCACTTCGGAAACAACGAATCAGCAGTTTCTTCGCCTTCATCGCACTATTTTCCATGCTATATTCCATTTTTCGTCATAATCTAGATTACCCAAAATCATCGGAACTGTGCCTGTAAGATAGCGAAACTTGGAACGATTAAAGATAATGTCAAACGCTTGGCATATGCACAAGCGTCTTCCGCGAATTTTTAAATGCCTGAAGCTTGAGTATCCTTTCTTGAGGATTGAAAGTGGTGTCTCTGTTTGTCTCACTGCTTCGCGACAACCTCCACGCTACCTTGCTACAGCAGGCTGCGTTCAAAAAAAAAAAGAATTGGTGAATACAGCAAGTAGTTCTCTCGTTGCACACGGTCGATGCCATCATCCTACTTCACTAGCCGCTGCACATGCATTGAAAGTATGCCATTAGGTTTTTCATTTCATACTGCGATTCGTTTACTCATGTGAACTCGTATGAGCTGGGCTCACAAGGATTTCAATACTAATTCGACCAAACATCAGTGTATATTGATTTTATTGACTGCAAAGTCTTATGATGCTAATTATATTCACATGACACTATAGGAAGACACTGGAACATATGGCAGAGCTAACATTGTTAAAATTGCTAGCATTCGAGCATAATTGATAAGTGGCCACAGTACACCATGCTTATTCAAGAAGCGCCATGAAACACTTGACTGACCTATCCTAAAAAAACTAGAAGTTTCACAAGTATAAATTGGATTTGGAAAAGCGTCTCAATTCTCAAAACAAAAAAATTCTGCAGCACACCATCTTAGCATTCATTCACTCTGCAACAACGCAGCCAGAAACAAAAACTCATTGCAAAAATTTGCCATTCACCTGTATCACCTGTCATTCCATTGATAATCGACTTCCTCGAAAGAACGCCAGTATCGTCTCCATTCGTCCCTGTCGCAAACCAGAGTGGTCCAGCGGATCGTTCTCGCTTCAGGGACACGAGGTCTAACATTCCTTTCGTTCAGAGCTTACGCGAAAAACTCTGACCATCTCGTTGGCGGCCGTCCTGGACCGACCGTCAGTAACCGACCTGGTCCAACGGCTATCATTAGATCCCATAACGTGTCCGGCCCACCTGATCTTCGATTTCTTGGCGTAATCAACGGCATCCCTGATCTTCGTTCGATGACGGAGCTCGAAACTCCTGATTCCCTTCTGTACTTGCGCGTATAGGGAAATTCCGAGCATCGTCCTTTCCAAAGCGCGTTGGGTAACGCTGACAGCATATTCATCCTGTTTTCGTAAAGTACAATTCTCCGAGGCGTACGCCAAAAAAGAAAGGACAGCAGTGTTCAAAAGGTGAGCGCGGAGCCGATGTTCTCTCTCTTCTTCGTTACTTCCTCGATATTCTTAAATGCTTCCCACGCGGCGCGTTTCCTTCTGCACAGCTCCAGAGCTATGTCATTCTTCATGTTGGCTTCCCGACCTAGATACTCATAGCTAGAGCATTCAGAGATATTTGTATCCTTCATCGTGGAAGGAGCATCAGGCATCAATCCGTTTCCCATGAACATCGTCTTCGTTAAATTAAGTCTCAAGCCGATCTTTCCACAAGCACGGTCAAACTCGGTCAGCATTCGTTCCAAGCGCTCGCTGTTGGGTATTACAAGCACGATGTGGTCTGCAAAGCGGATGTGATGTAGATAGCGGCCGTCAGAGGGGCGCGCGATTCACGCGTGGCCCCATTAGAGCTCTCGGGGCATGCAACATCGCTTCAGTACCCTGTTGTTGAGATGGACTAAATAAGTATTGCAGTAGTCCACGGCTTCACCATGGATTAGAGCAAATCCCTTTACTATGGCAATGAGGCCCCTTCGAGAACAAGAGTTCAACTTCAAATTTTTTGATTTTAGAAAAAGCAGTCCTCCTGTAAACGTGCATGGTTGGTCATTTTTTTATGTTACTTATAAGTTCTTATTTCTCCCATTATGATGGTAGCCATGGTGTTACAGCGTGCCTCATCCGATGACCTCATTATATTGACGCGTGAATCGTACCACACCCCGGCCGTCAACCTTCACTACCAAGTCTTCCCATTTCAAATGATGCATGATGTTCTCGAGAGCGGCACTGAAAAGTTTGGGCGAAATGGGATCGCCCTGCCGGACACTTCTCTTTACGTTGATAGTGACTTCCATGTAGAATGGTGAAATCCTGGTCGTGAAATTGTTGCAGAGGTCACGAAGCGTCCTCACATATTGAGTAGGAACACCCAGGTTGCCAAGGGCGTCGATTACCGCTTTTGTCTCGACGGTATCGAAGGCCCTCTTCAAATTGATGAATGTAAGACATAACGGCATTCTGTACTCCCACGATACTTCAATGAGTTTTGTAACGGCACGGATGTGATCGATTGTACTGAACCTTCTCCGTAACCCTGGTTGCTCGCACGGCCGTCCTTCATCTAATATTCTGCAAATCCTGTTTAGGATGACGCTGAGTGAAAAGGCTTGTAGATTGCATACACCAGGCAGATGGGGTGATAATTGCCAATATCGCCTGGATCTCCCTTCTCTTACAGCAACAGTCTTGCTGGTTTTCCACGACGTGGGCACTTTGCATTCCGACAGATACCACGTGAAGAGCCCAGCCAGAATTCTGACGGTAACTGGTGGATGACTCTTCAGGTGGTCTGTTTGATCTTGTCACGAACGGGTGCCGCACCATTTCTCATCGACGTGATGGCGTGCCGAATTTCGGAAAGAAGAATTGAAGGAACGACTTATCCGTCTTGCCTAAGATGTTAGGTAGGCAGGTAGACTTGGCTGTCGAAGAGATCAGAATGGAATTTGTAGATGACATTCCCCATTGCCCTTCGAGATGCAGTAACTGTTCCTTCAGGACAACGAAGGGAAGTCATCTTGGTCTTGCTTCGGACTCTGCGAATGCCCTTTCCGGCCTCGGCGGCTTCGTCCATAACTGCTGCTCTTCTCTCTTTCAGACCTTCCTTTATCGCTTCTCTGCATAGCTTCGCAAGTTCGGACGCTCGTTGATGATTGCCTGTAACTCGCGCGATTCCACGCTTGCGTATCAGCTCAAGTCTTCGAAGAGAGTCGCCTCTTGGCTAATTGTATACTCACCGCTTTCCTAGCACTATGGTGATGGTGTTCGACGAGCCGGTTGTATTCTTCATCGATGTTGCCGATAACGGAGTCTTCCCATTCACTCGCAAGGGAAGCGAAGTGGTTCTAGTTGATCCTAGTTGATGAAGGCCTTGGGGTTTTGCTTGCTAAACTTCATAGCTCTTTCGCTCCACGCTCTGAGAAGCAGAATCTAGCGCGGAGGAGACTCCCATGTCCACCGCAAATGAGAGGGCTTCTGGAACCGTGAGTTACCATGGATGGTGTGGGTCGACATGATAAACTCGGACAGCCTTGCACCCTGCACATTCCATTCCATTCCATTCCGTGAGTCTCGATTTAGAGCTCTTCAGCCGTTCTCTTGTGGCCAATCTTGGTGATAAAATCACCGAAGATGGCCTTGAAGAGTGTTCTTCTCTATAGAGCCCCTCCAGGTCCATGTAAAATGCTTCCAACTCCTCTCCTCTCGATGATGGTGCGTAAGCAACGAAGATGGTCAGAGCTGGAGTTGAGCCACATCTTCTTAATCGCAAACGTCCGATTCGGGTTGTTAAGCTTTCGTTGCGAATCGATGTTCATGGCCAAGTGTGTACTGACGACGACACCTACGCCGCCGACGCCTCTGCTGTCGCATTTTCCAAAGAACAGTTCTTTTCCATTCTCAAATACAGCGTGCAGCGGGCGATGCCTTCTCGCCTCGGTCAGTCCGATAACGTCGTACTCGATCTTCCTAGCTTGCATCATCAGATCTTCTATACACGCTTCCGATGCAAGCGTCCGTGCGCTGAAGGTACAGATCGCCATCTTAGCCCTTTTCCTTTTAGGCAGCCTGTTTTGGCCCTGGATTTTAGCAGCCTTTCCCGAGCGGTCCCACCCAACGCTGCCGTAGTGGGGGCTCCCAGGTTCAGGGGAATGAGGCTCATTCTATTACTGGTTTTGGCGAGTGGATAACTAACGTGTAGCTTACCAGGCTCTGACTTGGGGCTGGGTTCACTCCGGGGGCTTGTCAGGCTATCCGAAGTTTGAACGATGAGCTTAGTTTTTGGAGGTGGCCCCGAATGTTCTCCCACATTCTTCCCAGTCATTCTAATGCGAGCTTTTGGCTGAGTCGATGGCGGGTTACCAACTGCACGTACAGACTCTCCACACACGTATGCGTGGATACGCCTGCGAATGCAGAATTTACATCGGCCAGCACAACAGGATCAGGGAGTCCACCCTCAAAATCCACCTGCGTCTCTGGGCAAGAACTGGCGACTACAATATTACGGTCGCAGCTCTCCCGACAAAACCATTTTCACTCTGTGCACCACACCTGCTTTCGCTGCAACACAGAGTGAACTGGTCAAGGCCAAACATAAAATGGACTATTGATGTTTCATTCGTTTTCAAAGAATGTATGGACTGATTATATTGAAGGATTAAATTCGACGACAAACAGGTTTGAACAGAGAACTGTATCGTCCGATTTGATAGCAAAAATGAGGAACGATCTTCATCAGGCGTAAATTAGTCCTAGACTAACCAAAGGATAAAAAAAAACAAACCCAACCGGAGGGTACAAAAAACCTAGTGGAACACTTCAAAAAAGAAACTTCTCCAGATTGCACTGAGAAACACCTTGCTGGGGAATGGCGTAGCATTGCGTAGACAGGGCTAGCGGAACAGCAGACACAGCAACACAAATGAGATAAATTTTCATGTCAAATGCCAGTACTAGCCTATGGAACCAAGAATCTCAAAAATAAGAGTTTCTGGACAGACTTCAGATACTTAATAAGTGTTCTCGCCGCTCACGAAAACAGTTTGGTCGCCGCACGATACTTGACGCCTCAAGGGCGAGCCTCAGTAAGGCTGGTGGAGCTGAATTGAAACTATAGGTTGATGCATTATTATTGCGGGTTTTTTCGCGGCTTCTTTTCACTCCATACAACTTCAATGTCAAAGTCGAGATTTTCATAGAAATAATCTACTCGCTTTCCTTAATAGAAATATATCTAGGGAATCATCTTCTTACTCGCCACATTATGCTCTACTACTTCGAGGAATGATGGAAGGTGGCACACTCATTACGCGATCTCAACGAGCTTTTTGGCGATGGAACTGTCAGCCAAAGCCAACTGAGGACTGGGATTTGCTCCTAAATCTCCATATTGACCCATAGAAACTCCTAGGTTATCACGCCACCCGTTCGTTGAAACATTGGCTAGCAAACAGGCCTTACGACGAAATGGATGACTTGGTGGCCGCTGTCAAGGTGAGGATCGCCTTCAAGGACTGAAACTTCTTTGCCTGTAAAATCCGGCTGCTTAGCAAATGGGAAGCAGCGTTTGGCGTGGATGGTGGGTACGTTTTAGAGTAATTATTTGAACATGTCTTTGCTAAATATTTCCATCGTTTCTTTAAGTAAAGTTTGCTGGAAAAAATCCACAATAATTATGCACCAACCTAATACTAACCCTGCCCCAAACCAATCACTTTGAAGCACTCTGCGCTCTATACACCTTTCATCTTTCTCTGAGTATTGAAACTTATTGCCGTCAAAAACAAATAAAATAATAGTAATAAAAGGGTTTTGATTACCCAGCCACCGCAAATCGATTTTCTTCGCTACTTATCAAACTCTGTCGACGAAAATTAACCCATTGACGACCGTGCAGTCCACATGTGGACTGCAGTTGTATTTTTTGTTTTATTCATCTACCAGGCGGCTACGCACGCTATTGCGTGCGCTAGAGGCTCTAGCCATGAAGGACGGAGTCACATGAGCTACTGATTTCCATTAAAGACCTTTACCATCTGAGCCTCTTCCCTGACACTTCTGTAGCGGCCATCATTTTTTTTGGAGATGTGAAATGGGGCTGTGTGTGGCCATGAAGAGTACTCCGATGTATCCAAATCAAATGCCTCTGCAGTCCATGTAGTCGAAGAAACTCTGTGTTGTTTGGGCTGTGTGGGGCCATGAACACTAACCTTGAAAGGACAGCCCCTTTGGGTAGTTGTAGGGATTTACCCATTTCTACAGGGTATGCATCTGTTGGCCGGAGTTACTGAAGTTCTGAAGTTAATGTAGTGCATTTGCTTTTGTGTAGAAGAGACTACCGTGTGTAAGTCCATGGATACAAACTTTTAGAAAATTTCAGCCTTATTTTTGAAAGAGTTTAGTGGTATCTCCTAGTTGTACATCTATGTGGGCAGGGTTAGTGTGAAGGACATATGTATAAATTTTTGATTTTAGCTCCGCCTCCTATTTGCAAACCCCACCCACTTCAGACTTCGAGTCGCATTACTTTTATTACCTCCAGACACCTTTTTCACGCGTTCTAAAACGCACTAAAGAGGCTTAATAATTTTAATGTGAGCACACTTTAGTGCCAATCCCGCCCACTTGTTGGATCTGACCACATTGGTTCTGCCACATTTTACCACTTTTCCCGCATCCCACAACGTTTCTAAATAGTTATGAATTTTTGATCTAAGCCCCGGCCACTATAGTGCCAACCCCGCCCACTTCTGAGATTTGACCTTATTGTTCTTTTACAGCTTAACACCTTTTTGCCGCATCCCAGAACGTTTCTCAATAGAGTTGTAAATTTTTATCAAGGCCGCACCCACTTTGGTGCCAACCCCGCCCACTTCCGGGATTGGACCACATTCGTTCTTTTACACCTCAACACCTTTTTGCCGCATTCCAGAAAATTTCTGGATAGAGTTGTAAATTCATCTAAGCCCCACCCACTTTGGTGCCAGCCCGCCCACTTCTGGGATTTGATCGAATTCGTTCCTTTACATCTTAACACCTTTTTGCCGCATAGCAGAAAGTTTCTGAATAGAGCTAATAATTTTTGCCTCGGCCCCGCCCACTTCAGTGCCAACCGCGCCCACTTCTGAGAATTGACCTTATTTGTTGTTTTGCACCTTAAAGGCACCGTTCACGACAATTTTGGGTAATCCAGATTATGATGAAAAGTGGAAGACAAGATCGAAACTAGTGCGACTGAGGTGAAGAAACTGCGTGCATCGGTGTTTACAAAGTGAAAAAAGGCTTCGAAAAAACATTAAAAAGGGGGCCAGACGAGAATGACACCAGAAAAATGAAGAAGAGTGGGGTGTCCGGACGGGCTAAACAGTGTGTTTCACTGCGCGCGTGTGGGTCCTGGTGCGAATAACAGACAATGGTAAGAAAAAATTCATTCACTTATAAGCATAAATAAACTTAAAAACCCTAGTGATAGCAAAAGTAGCTCACCTTTTTCAGCCTCTAGGAGTAGGAAATTAAATAAGGGATTGCGGCAGCAAAAAGAAAAACAGGAAAAAAGAATGAGAGAAAAACATCGCCTCATCACTCGGCGACTAGCTGATTGTGCGTGGGTCCTAGAACGAATAATAGCAATTTGTATTGTCTCGACACTCGTTTAACGTGTCACCGATCGAGGGGCGGGAACGCGAACTACGGCAACAACGGGGCTGCCACTATGCCCTGGACGTCGAGATTGGGGGAGTGAGAGGGTCCCTTCTACAACCCAAGGGGACCGCTGAGTATTAATAAGGTAAGAACTCAATAACTTTTTTATCGTGAACGGTGCCTTTAACACCTTTTTCCGCATCGCAGAAAGTTTCTGAATAGAGTTAATAATTTTTGCCTAGGCCGCGCCCAATTCAGTGCCAACCCCGCCCACTTCCGGGATTTGACCTTATTTGTCCTTTTACACCTCAACACCTTTTTGCCGCATCCCAGAACGTTTATGAACAGAATTATAATTTTTGATCTAAGCCCCGCCCACTTTAGTGCCAATCCGCCCACTTCTGGGATTTAACCTTATTTGTTCTTTTTTACCTCGACACTCCCAGAACGTTACTAAACAGAGTTATAAATTTTTAAAATAAGCTCCGCCCACTTTGGTGATAGCCCCGCCCACTTCGAGGGTCTGGCCACATTTGTTCCATGACCTCCAACCACTTTTTTCCCGCATTCTAGAACATTTCCGAACGAAGTTACACTCATTTTTGAAAAGTAGCTACCACCTCAACGCACGCCCCCCCATCGTGGGCGGGGCTTCGCTCAGCTCACGCATGCCCAACACGCATAAGGCCCTGCTCACTCTTTTCATTTTTTTTTTGGCCTCTGCGCCTTAAATGAATCGAGTCATGAATACATCTGCAAAATACCGCCCATCCCGAGAAAGCTCCGCCCACAGCATGTAGGTCTCCTCCATCTGGTATGTTGGCCCAATGCTCACCTTTGAACATTTTCCCCGGTGTCTGGACTTTTTCGAAGCCATAATAAGGCGTTTGGCTATTCGCACCTAACACTCCGGGACTTGCCCCGCCCCCTGTGGGCGGGGCTCCGCAGAGCCCATATGTGCTCTATTACATTTATATCGGGCTCCACCTATCCCGAACTTGTCCCGATTTCCAAACTTGTTTTTCAGGTAACACTGAATTTCGCGTTGAACATACAAACATACATACATACAATACATACAATACATCATACAATACATCATACAATACATACAATACATCATACAATACATACAATACATCATACAATACATACAATACATCATACAATACATACAATACATCATACAATACATACAATACATCATACAATACATACAATACATCATACAATACATACAATACATCATACAATACATACAATACATCATACAATACATACAATACATCATACAATACATACAATACATCATACAATACATACAAT